CGTGGTGTGTGTGTGTGTGTGTGTGTGTGTATGTGTGTGTGTATGTGTGTGTGATTTGTGTATGTATGTGTATGTGTAGTGTGCATTTATATGTGGTGTGTTTGTGCTCGTGTGTGCGTGCGTGCGTGCGTGCGTGCCGTGCGCGCGCGCGCGTGTGGGTGTGGTCGTGGTGTAGTGCGCGCGCGTTGTGTGTGTGGGTGTACAGTGCGCGCTCTGCTTGGCGCTGTGTGTGTGTGTGGGTGTACGTGCGTGGGTGGTAAGCACAACAACAACAACAACAGTAGTTACACATACTCTCAGGAACAGTGTCTGCACTTTGCCGCATTCCTTGCCGCACTCCTCCTCTACGATGGAGTAGACTATGGTACGTACGGGTGTAGCGACCCGCTCTTGCACGACCGCTCAACAGCCACACGAACACGTCCGGCATCGTGTTCTGCGGCTGAAGGATGTCGGAGAATGAAGACCATGATGACACAGCGCGTGGACAGCAGCTGAGCATCCACTGCTGCTTCCATTCTGGTCGTTTCCGCTGCTGATCTGGCTGACTCCGGCGCATATTCCTTCACCATTCCTCCTCCGTTTCCCCTTCTCGTCCTGTTCCTCCCTCCCTCTTCTCCTTCTCCTGCCTAGCCATTCCCCCTCCTCTTCACTCTTCTCCTCTCCATCCCCTCCTCTTCCTCCTGCCTCCCCCTCACTCCTCCTCCTCCTCCTCCTTCGCTTCTTCCTTCTCTTCTTCTTTCTCTCTCTTTCTATCTATCTTCCTATCTGTCTCTCTCTCTCTCCCCTCTCTCTCTCTCCACATATATATATATCTATATCTCTCTCTCTCTCTCTCTACTATATATATATATAATATATATATATATTATATTACGCTCGCCTCTCTCTTACCTCTCTCTTCTTCTCTCTCCCTTTCTTTCCTATATAATATATACTTATTCATGATACTAATTATATATATATTACACACACGCGCGCGCGCACACATACTCCCACTAATACCAGAGTATAGGCACTATAATAATTATAGACTAAAGCATCTAAGAACGAGATAGAGAGGGACTATTACTATTAGAAACCAATAACGCTGCAATAGACACTAGACACTTCCGTACGCAAAACTCTTAATTACGTACACTAATTACGTACACTAATTACACACGACACCAATTACTCACAACACCTTTTATTTATCCTCCTGTGTACTGTCTCCCCACAGCTTCCTGGTAAGAAGGGAGTCGGACCGACCGGCTGGTCAATGCAGGGAAAGCTGACCCTCTACCTGTGGCTCGGACTCGCCAAGAACAAGAAGGAATACCTCGCAGGGTTACCGAAGGGTTACGAGGACACGATGGAGTTGAAAAACTCGATGAGACCGACGGGTATCCCACCGATTCTCATCTCATATCCCGGTACGTCGGATGGATCAACATGTTCTGCTAGCATCTATGACAAATACGACGTACGCATATGCGCTCTCCTATGACACTATTGGTCATAGGAAGATTCTTCCTATGACAAATATTGGCGAGTCAACTTCGTTCCGCTTTACAGCTGAAATTCACTGCTTGCGTTCATAATAGCGCTCCTAAACTCCTATGATGCGCACAACACATACAACAATATTTGTCATAGGAACAATCTTCCTATGACAATTAGTGTCATAGGAGAGCGTATATGCGTATATCGTATTTGTCATAGATGCAAGCAGAACAGGCTGGATGGATACACGCACTTTGTGGCGGTACCTAGTCTGACGGATATACGCACTTGTACTATAGGGCCCCTACTCTGTTGTTGTGGTGTTACAGATGGAGAGGGAGGATGTGTGAAGTAATGCATACGCATCTGAGACCACCTACTTAGTTAGACCACCTGTGGTGTTAGAGAGGGTGGCGGGAATATATATGCGTGTACTTGTGATGTTAGGGAGGTGCTGAATTTTGCAGTAGCATAGCGCGAATCCTGCGTTTAATAATAATATGACTATACCGTTGAAATAAAATTGTGTTTTGTTAAAATTATACAAACGGTTGCTTCAGGGACAGCTATCCCCCTTCTTCCCCCTGCTCCCAGAGGTTACGGCCCCGTAAGGAAGGCGGGATGGGTGAGATGGTGGTGGTGGGGATGATGATGATGATGATGATGATGATGATGATGATGATGATGATGATGATGATGATGATAATGATAATGATGATGATAATGATGATAATGATGATGATGATGATGATGATGATGATGATGATGATGATGATGATGATGATGATGATGATGATGATGACGACGACGACGACGACGACGACGACGACGACAACGATGATGATGATGATAGTGATATGACTAAACCTACCATTGTGTGTGTGTGTGTCATATTTCATGTTACAGAGAAGGTGACCTTCCAGCTGCGCGCGCACATGTACCAAGGTCGCAGCCTGATAGGTAGCGACGCGTCCGGTCTCTCCGATCCGTTCTGTCGCGTCGTGTTCACGACCAAGTCACACAGCACGCAGGTTAGTCACCTGTCCCACTGATGACGACGTCACGCGCGCGACGTTGACGATAGCAATATTAATTTTTACATAAATAGAATAATAAAATATTGTGTGAAAACACATGAATTTATAAGCAGAATAAAACAAAATGATAAAATAATTAGAATAATCTAAACAATGAGCAAATGAGCTTAAACATATAACGTGCGTGCGTGTTGTGCATGTCGTGCGTGCGTGTGTGTGTGTGTGTGCGTGCGTGTGCGTGCGTGCGTGTGTGTGCGTGCGTGAGTGTTGTGTGTGTGCGTGCGTGCGTCGATCGTATGGGCATTATTGCGTGCGTGAGTGCGCGTGTGTATATAATAGTAAACTAACTGCCGCTATATATATATATATATACAAGGTTCGCACAGTCCTTGAAAAGTCCTTGAATTTGAGGGGAGTCCTTGAAAAGTACTTGAATTTAGTAAATGTTGATTTTGTGCTTGAAAAGTCCTTGAATTTCATGAAAATTTCCTTGAATTTTTAGAAAGAATCCTTGCCTGTAATAAAAAGAAATTTTGTACCATCAATAATGTGCAAACCTCATAGACACGATAGACAGTTAAATGATGATCACAAATTACAGTAAGTCAGTAAAATCAGTCAGTAAATCAAGGTATGTTGTAGAAGTGACAGTGTTTAGAAGGGTTTATTAATGTGATCCAGGTAAGTTTTAGAGGTGACCGTGATTAAGAATGGGGTTATTATTAAATTAATCCAGGTATGTTGTATTCTGTGTATGAATTCTGATTAAATATGTCCTTGAATTTCCGATAAAATATCCTTGAAAAGTCCTTGAAACATTTTTCAGTCCTCCTGTATGAACCATGATATATATATATTATATTATAATCATATATATTTATATATATATATTAGAGATTTCTGGGTGCTATGTGTTGCGGATCTGGATACGACATTGGCTGGCGCGACATTTCAGGTCATAGATGAGACACTGAGCCCGACCTGGGATGAGATGCTCGTGTTCGATGACGTAGTCATACACGGATCACGTGACGAGATCAAAGCCGACCCGCTGACGGTGGTTATCGGTGAGTAGGGGAGAAGCTGGGAATATATAAATATATAATTATATAGTAGGGAGGAAGCTGGGGAGGTGTGTCCCGTAGTGTAATGCATTTATCGGCCGGCCATCCAGCCGCCCTTGTCTGTGCGATTTTCTCTCTCGTTCTCTCATTTCATCCCATTATTTCTTTATTTATTTCTCTCTTTCTCTCTTTCTTTCTATCTATCTATCTTTGTCTCTTTCCTGCTTTCTTTCTCGCTCTCGCTCTCTATCTCTCTCTCTTTCTCTCTCTCTTTCATGATCGTTTTCCATCTGTCTCTATCTCTGCCTTGCTTGCTCCTTCTCTACCTCTCTCTTCCTATCTCTCTCCTCGCTCACTATCTCACGCTCTTTTATTAACTCTCTCCTCTCCTCTCCTCTATTCTCCTCTCCTCCCTATCTCCCCTCTCCTCTCTCTCCTTCTCTTTCCTCTCTCCTCTATCTCCCCTCTCCTCTCCTCTCTCTCTCTCTCTCTCTCTCTCTCTCTCTCTCTCTCTCTCTCTCTCGCTCTCCCTCTCCTTCCTTTCCCCTTTCTCTCCGCCCACTTCTCTCTCGCGTCAAATCACCCTTCTCCCCCTCTCTCTCTTCAGAGATCTTTGACCAGGACAGAGTGGGCAAGGCGGAGTTCATAGGACGGGCGCTCGCCAAGCCTCACGTTAAGATGTCAGAGGAACCCTACGTGCGCCCCAACTTTCCGCCCTCTCTCGACTGGTACGACATCTATCGGGGATCAGAGAGAGCTGGTGAATTGCTCGCAGCATTCGAACTACTGCAGGTAACGATGCTGTTTGATCGAGAAGTGGTGGTCTACACCTCGGGCGAAGAAAGAGGGTGGTGGGTATGTGGTGGTTGAAGGTAGAGAGTGGACGGTTACACTCTGGGTAAAGGTAGAGGGTGGCGTGACTGCACGCTATGAAGAGAGAAGATGGAGGAAGGGAGAGAGTCAGAGAGAGTAGGAAAGGGTCTAGGCACTGGGTAAGGAGAGAGAAGTATGAGAGGTTAACGAGAGAGAGAGAGAGAAAGATACAAAGAGAGGGAGAAAGAGAGCGATAGGAAGAAGAGAGGGTTGGCTGTCTACACACTGGGCCCAGACGCGCGGTAAAGAAGAGTTGGGCGGGCGGTCCGCCAGGCTAATGTATACATGTCGCACACTGTGCAGTACGTTGTGTCCAATAAAATTCCATTAGTTCATACGTTGTGAGTGGTTAATGTTGCAGCCGCGCGCACGATGTGCTCTGACGAATAGGTGTAAATCACTACACCTGTATTCACCTGGTCACTCACCTGGGCACGAGCTACACACCTGTGCACGCTTGCCATGTATTCGATTATCTCGTGTTTTTACCCATCGATATTTTTTCGGACGTTTAAGGGAAGAAGAGAAATTCGGTATTTTTTCCGCGGTGACTATGGTAAGTGTCGGTAATAATGGTATTCTTCATCGTTGGTAATTTTTTAAGCGACATAATCCGTTATAATTGCCACGTAAATTGGTCGCTGTATCGTAGCCCGGGAGGGTCCCGGATGTAATGTATTATGTAATCTCTATCCGACCCCAGCGCTCTCTCGTGTGCGTGTGTCTTCGATGTCCCTTGTGTGCACTCTACCGTATAGTGTAGTAAACGTGATCTAGACTATAAAGCAACCGCCAGGTGTCTCTAGTGCTGAGTGCTAAGCTTCACACAGTTGCTCGAAGTACGGGGATTAAATACCTCTAAGGGAAACGTGCACACATTTTTTTACAAACTCGCAACGTTCGCATGTTGTCCCATTAGATGACGACACGTGATTATCTATTACTGGATTGGATAGCCTACCTAAATCCGCAAATGCGAACCTAAGGAGGTCCTCTTCATTGCATAAATCCACACACATGCACACACGCAATGTTGAAATCAGTTTTACAATGCATCTCTTCAATTCTCGAATGTAAATGACACACACACACACACAGAGACACACACACACACGCGCGCGCGCACACGCACACACACACACACACACACACACACACACA